GGGGGGGGGGGGTATGGATCCACCTCGGCTGCCGCGAAGCAGCGGCGGGGGAAGAGGATCGAGGCAGACCAGGTCTGCTGCTGCGCAGGCGCCTCGCCTGTTCACAGCTCGTGTTCACAGCTCGCCGCGTGAGGAGGGCGGCGTCTGTTCACAGCTGCGGGTGTGAAGAGACGCTGTTCACAGCTCGAGCCGCGTGAGGAGGGTGGCGTCTGGCGCGCGCGATAAGGCTTGAGATCGCCGTCCCTGTGACCCGGTGTGTCGCCTTCCCGGACTGCCACTGTGCTGTCGTGCGATGTCGGGCCTGGGGCTGTGCTGTTGTGCACAGAGGCCGTCCTCGCATTCGCCTTCCTGGGGACCAGTGCTGACTTCGGACTGCCGTCGCTGTCTCTCTCCCTTCTCGACTCTCTGTGCTTGTGCGTCTTGGGTCCGGGGTTGTGCTTTTGCGTGAAGAGGGCGGCCATGGTCCTGCTGCGCAGGGGGGGGGGGGCTCTCGCCCAGGTCCAGGGAGTAGCCGCTGGCGTCGATCGTGGTGAGCTCGAGGGAAAGGCCCTGAAGGAAGAGAGAAGGGGGGGTAAGGGGAAGAGGTCCAAAGCAGGGGTGGACAATGTGGAGACGCCTCGTCGCGCCGTGTGTGTGCGTGGTGAGGTGTGTGTGTGTGTGTGTGTGTGTGCGTGCGTGCGTGCTTGCGTGCGTGCGTGTGGCGTGTGCTCGGGTGTGGTGTGGTGTGGTGTGGTGAGTGGTGTGGTAAATGGTGTGGTGTGGTGTGTGGTGTGTGGTGAGTGGTGTGGTGTTGTGTTGTGTTGTGTTGTGTAGTCGCGCCTCGAAGTTGAGCTGCGTCATGGTGGCCTGCTCGACCTGCACAGGGGCGAGGGGGTGAGGGGCGAGGGGCGAGAGGGCGAGGGGGCGAGGGGGTGAGGGGCGAGGGGCGAGAGGGCGAGGGGGCGAGGGGGTGAGGGGCGAGGGGCGAGGGGGTTGGGGGGTGATCAGGGGCGAGAGGGCGAGGGGGCGAGGGGGTGAGGGGCGAGGGGCGAGGGGGGTTGGGGGGTGATCAGGGGCGAGAGGGCGAGGGGTCGAGGGGGTGAGGGGCGAGGGGCGAGGGGGTTGGGGGGTGATGAGGGGCGAGGGGCGAGGGGGGTTGGGGGGTGATCAGGCCCGAGAGGGCGAGGGCGCGAGGGGGTGAGGGGCGAGGGGCGAGGGGTTTGGGGGGTGATCAAGGGCGAGAGGGCGAAGGGGTCGAAGGGTTGAGCGGCGAGGGGCGAGAGGGTTGGGG